GGCACATTTCTATCTATCTCTTTCTCCTTCTTCCTTCATCTCCGTACCCCGCGCTCAAACACACAAACACCAACGCACACAACACACAAAATGTATTCACCTTGTCTCCGACTCTTTTTCTCTTTGAAATACCTCTTATAATGCTTTACATACTCATGCATGAAACCAATCCACTGCGAGCGACGCCAAAAAATATTGTGGTACATATCTCACTGGCGGAGAAAATTGTGATGAAATGCAAAGGCAATGAAGATCAGGTCATGTATCATGAGGGCAGGTGTGAACAGCAGCGCCACTAAAACACGGCTGCATTATTCATCGTATATGTTTTGCGAGATCAGTGATGCAGAGAAGATGCGTGTAGCGAGTGCATATGTTATAATAAATTTATTATTGGTGAGCAAGGCATTCATGAGGAATTGATATTTCCATCGGGAACTTTGATGGAGACGAGTGAGTGAGTGAGTTAGAGAAGTGAGAGAGAGAGAGAGAGAGAGAGAGAGAGAGAGAGAATGATGACGCGTTGTTTTCTTCAATAAACATTTGTGATACCAGGTAGACGAGAGGATTTAAATGTCTATTTACTTCACTGATATATGAAATTCAATTAGCACTTTAATGCTGAAACTTTGAAGGCTTTGTTGTTTATATAAGTTCATATCATAACCAATGATATTATATAAAAAAATGATTGAATATAGTTAAGTTATATAAAATACATTTTTCAGACTTATTTCAATCCAATCGCATTGTTAATTTAAATAGCAAAAAATTTCATTTAAAAACACAAATTTAAAAACACAAATCTTTGAAAAAATATATGAATACAAAATTTAAGAGAATACAAATAAGAATATTGAATATTATAAATTTTTTTTACCTTGGTATTTGCTCACCAAAGTAATTTAAATTATCCAAAAATTTATATATAAATATATTTATATATTTGAAAAAACATCGATCTGCTTTTATTACAAATGCTTTAACCTTTCTTTCGAATATATCACCACCTAATAGAAAATAGTCGTCCACTTCCTGTATTAAAACGCAACTTCTACTCGAGTCAGAACGACAGGGTATATATTGCACCTCCGACCTAGTTAATACGAAGATATCTAAATTACGCCTTAAATATGTCTCGGTTAAGATAAGAACTACTTTGTCAGAGTGTGCACATATAACAAATAATATGTATTTATTATTGTTCTTAAGACGACTAATCCTTAAAAGACGTTTTAAAATGAATTTAGAAAATTATAAATATATTTCAATTGATAGAATATAGTATAAAAGTTGAAAAACCTACAATCGATCTCTATGTAGGCGCAGTGTAATAGAGTTTGAGAGATTAAGAATGACAAATTTAATTATTGGATTGGGCATTGCCAGAGACGTAATTGTAGTATTCTGCCGTAATGAATTATATTTAGTTGAATAGATTTACTAATGTTCAAAAATAAATAGAATTATGCGTAGCTGTAAAGTTGAATAATATTATCTCGTTTTATATAATGTTTAGATGTATTAGACCACCACCGATGAAACTCAGGTAGACCGTACCATACATAGTTCAACTAATCTAGATATAAAATCTAGTTTTTCTATTCAACATTTAGTCGATCTAACATAATGTAGCTTGAATTTAAACTACGAGCATTTAAAAAACTATTTTACAATTTTACCATAAAAATATCCAATACTGTCAATAACCATGATTATGTATGCGTACGTATGCGCGTGTGTATAATGTATCGCGTACAACTGTGTAATAAATGTTGGTTACGACACAATCTGCCTGAATATTATATTAATGGTTAAATGCAACAAGTTAATATGTAGGAAATGTAACTTCAATATGAATATTATAATTGAAATTATAATCTATTTACATTAGATTATGTGAATAAATGCGCTTTGTTAATATAAAAATTATGTTTCTATTAGTAATATGGCTTATCTAATAATTATTAATAATTATAAAAGCAGGAATTTAGCAAATTTTACAGTTAGCGATAATCAATGTATAAATAAAAAACACTTATTTACTGCACATCATATTTTAAATAAATAATTCGTAAATTTCTATTTGTATGAAAAAAGATGATTATTTTATTTAATCCTAAATAAATATCGTCGACGATTTTCAATAATATATAGGATGGGTAGTTTTCAAATTTTATTTTGCGTTTATGTTTCAAGAGAATGCACGAACGTAAGTCTGTAGACTAAATGGAAATAGAGAAGGTAAAGGTATCTAAATATTATGCTAACTGGGTATACATGGGTAGAGCGAAAGCCAAGTGTATACTTGTCTTATCGATTATCAACTGGCCGGATTTTTATTCTTATGCCAGCGCACCTTATCAGCACGGGTAATCTTAGCGTGGATTTCGATCGGTAATCAGCATCGCGGATCTCAAGACGACAGGTTCGTTCACGCGCGCACCTCTTTGCGCGATCTTTTTGTTTTGTTTTGTTTTGTTTTGTTTTGTTTTGCTGTTTGTCGTTCTTGTAATAACTGCTAATGTTAAAAATTTTCTTGCTCTCATCTGTTTATCGAAGAAACTTGAAAAAGTGGTTTCACAAACCTGGCAATTAAAGGAGTTGGCGCTACTGTTCAGTGATGTGGTGAAGTATGCTCGAGTGCGTGAGTACGAAAGCACGAAAAAGAAAATTCGTAGGCAAATGTGAGGTGTAGTAGTGTGGTATACAAAAAATAATATTGTCAAAGATTAAATTATTTTTTCAACAGCGGTGAAGCTCTCTCATACTTTTCCATGTTTTACCCAGATTTATTTATCAATTAATGAAACTCGTATATAATCATCACCACTGGAATTTCATTTATTTTTTTTCTTCCTTTTTTTTTTCTTTTTTATTTATTGAATACTATATAATAGTATTTAAAAAATAAATTAAATGTATAGCTTCTGTTCAATTATAATACATCTACTATACTAGAAATACTACATATAATGATAATAATCTTACTGATTAATATTTTATCAATTTAATGTAAATTTAACGATATTACAACGATACTATTTTCTCTAATATTACTATTATTCTGCCGATGGAGAATAATTGTAAATTAATTTTTTATCGAATTCATGATTGTATTTTGTATTTTAGACACACTAACGCCACTATACATTTTTTTAACAGTAATATTAATATTAATATTAAAAATTATGCTCCATTCAACAGAAGCTGCATACAAATTATTATTTTTTCTTCCTTTGAAAACTGTGCGAGTGCCGATGTTAATAAGAATACGCATATTCGAATGGATATTATGAGTTAAGGTAAAATAATTTGTAAAATTTTTAATATAAAACGACGCATAACGTCCACATGTTCAAACTTAAATTTGATAAATGTGTGTTGGAAAGAAATTTAAGTCACTTATCATGTAGATAAGATGAGAAAAATACAGTTGCAGCTAATTATCTTTAATGATAAACAATATCTCATGCCGTTACTGCAGTACAATGATAATTCAACCTTTTATAGTTTTTCATCGTGATGTGGGCAATGTTGTTAATAAATTAAAAATAAAAGCAAACAAGAGTAATTACAATTTTAAAGCTATCGAGATAATTTTAAATTACCACATTGTTCTATTTATTTAAAGAAATTCTAATGTTTATTTAATAAATAATTAATTGAAAATTTAATATGAAATCATGGAAAATTGGGACAGCAAATAATATAATTTCATAAATACTTAAAAGCTTTCTCTATAATTTCATAAGAGGCCTATATACATTAATATCAGTTTACAAAATGCGCTTTAGTCAATATCTTTAGAATTACAAAATGATGTATTGAGCATTGAAGAGTGAAGTCATTATGGGGTCTTTGTTTTACACTCCTACGGTGTAAATGTAATTCCAATTGTTTAGTGAAACTAATGACTGTCAACAAGAATGATTTCGCTTTCACATGCTGTAACTTCAACCTTAATTAAAAATTAGCTGCGCACGTGCATCAACGATATTGAGATAATATACAAAAACAAGTATTGGCTGATTAACCTGACGATACCTTCAAGAGTAAATTTATTTTTCTTTAAAGCTAAACTTTTCGTTACAATATGGATAAATAATTTTGAGCTAATTCATAACTGCCTTATGAAAATGTTTTGCTTCTTGCGTAATTTCTGGTACTTGGAGAAGGACAATTTGTAGTTTTTCATGAGTTAGCATTTCTATCCTTTTCTAGAGTAAACTGATAAAATATCACTTATTCATATACCTATATATATATATATATATATATATATATATATATATATTAATATTTTCAATTCAATTATTATCTATCTACCAAAATAAAATAGTACGTAAAGCGGCAGTGACATTATTATTAGTAATTGAGTCATATTTACAATTATTACAATGAAAAAGCTTTCGATTAAAATTTAATTTCTTAAACAGTATTATTGATTTAGTGCATAGAAGTTATTTACACACGAGGTAATTATTAACAAAATGATTAATTGTAATTAGACGACCAATATTACTTGTTTCAGTTAAAAATAAAATACTAAAATCTTGAAGAATATCATCTAATGATTTACAAAGTTTTCTTCCTATATTTATCATGTGCGAATAAATGAATAATCACTTAACAAGTTTACAAGTGATTTAATTTTGAAATAACGGCATATCGATGGTATAGTATAGTGGAAATTTATCCCTAAGTACCATGACTGGTTTTTGCTTTTATTTTTACACTCATTATTATTATTACAATAAAAATGTAAAAAAAAAAAGTTGATAATCCATGTTTATTTTTGATAATCGGTTGACTAGTAAGTAACTCGTGACATCCACTATTTATCATACTTTTTATCGAACTTTTTTTTCTTTACATTATGATAAGTGTCAATAGCAATAACAGCTGCTTCTCTCTCTCTCTCTCTCTCTCTCTCTCTCTCTCTCATACACATACACACATCACTTACGAAAGTCTATTCCCGAAGCTGACAAGCGGGTGGGCTTCGGCTGAAATTTAAGAGGTGTCGTTTCCGTTTCAGGCCAGTTTGTAAGTGCGAAGCGAGCAGCCCAGTCGACTCCTCCTGAGTACCGAATAATGCGTAGGATACAGGCCGGGATCGACTCGGCGGTCCTGACAGGACGATTCAGTGCCTGAATGGGCGACTTGAAGCCCGGCACGATGAGCGACACCGGCCAATCAACGAACTCGATCTTGCGTATCTGTGGTAGCACCGGCTTCGACAACGAGGTATCCGCAGCCGAAGCCTCATCCTCGTGGCTCGGCGCCCTGGCCCGACTGCTGCGCTGCCACGGACGTCGCGACAAATGGCAGAGGCCCAGCCGAGGAATCGCGGTAGCGAGCGAGGCGCTCGAGATGGTAATTAGCCGCGCAATTTCGGCCGATCGGCTCCCACAATTACCGTCGCACCGTAATCTGCGCATTGACAGACCTCTTCGTTTTAATTGGCCGGAAAATGTTTCGCGGTGAAACACCATTACCGCAAGACATTGGCACTTTTGATTTTCGGAACGTTTGCTGAAAGTGACAGCCCGCGCGTCGATTCGAGTGTAGAAGGAAAATAATTGTAATGGAGTAAAGAAAGATGCCTCTCAATGATTTGGAAAATGGGGTAAAGTAGGCGGTATAGTCGTATGCGTTTATAAATTTTCAGGACGATTTCAATTTCTGTCAGTCGAGCGAATTTTAATGTAATCGTCCATTGTGTTCGAGGACGTGAAATCGACGACTAAAGAAATAAAGAAAGTCCGCGCTTTTTCATAGCTCTACTTTTCTATTCGACGTTTCACTCCTTTCTCGCCCAATTGATTTTCACAGTGTGAAGCATTTAACTTCGATGATTATTATTGCTGACGTACGATTGGAAGGAGAAAATTTATTAATCGATAGTGGGTCTGGAAATGTTGTTAGTCAGTCCGAGTGCCACGTTGCTTTAATAAGATTTAATTCGCATTAAAATATCATTTAGAATATCGGCCGTCGATGTGTTCCATAATTTTTATTAAAGAAAATTCTAACTTCCAACGATCGTGTCCGTAATATTGCATAATTAACAAATTTCCCACTACGATGGATGGCATAATAAAAATTATATCTAATTATCCAATTTCCAGCATTATTTTAAGATTGTTTATTAACGGGATACGTTTGCGAATGACGTAAGTTTAGTTGCGGTACACGCAATTAAATGGCATTAAATTCGAAAATGTTATGTAAATATTATAATATTGGCAATAGAGTTTCAATGTTTGTAGAGATAGAAGTTATTCTTAGCAAAGACATTAAATACAAATTTATGTATTTTTAATATTACGTTAAAGCTATTTATGCACTTGTTTCTAATAACATAATTAAAGATGTTTGTGTTAGAAATCACGTAAGTTTATAACTGTACTGTCATTATCAATTGATTGATGTAAATTTTGCCAGCAGAGCATTAAAAAAATGTAGTGTCCCACTCTATATATCTATATCCACATATATCTTTATAATCCCAATCTATCTCTACATAAAGAATATAATCGAATTTTGACGAAGCTTGACAAGATTGTAAAGTAATTAACCGTAATGTACTTAGAGATTTTACTTTCTAATAACATGATATCCTATTCACAAATTATTAAATTTCTTCCTCGTTCATTTATATAATGAGAAATACATTGACCGATAAATGTTCGTCATATCCAAACATTGCCTCGATTCAATTATCAACATTATCAACATATAGATTATGCGCATTACGAAGTAGTACGCACTTAATGGTCTGAATCAGCATATATTTCCGTTCATTCGTAATTAATTGAACTATTTTCTAAATGCTAATTGAAACAAATATTATCCATCGATATACATCGAGATTTCTGAGCGACAATTTAAAAATTAAACAGAAAATATATTACGCCCGTGTAAAAGGTTCGCTGATAGCCAATACAGACATATTACATTGATTTCAGTATTATGTAAATTAATTTGTATTCATAAACAAATTACCTTACGTGTCACGTGTTATTATTATTATTATTATTATTACCATTATTATTATTATTATTATTATTATTATTATTATTATTATGCTTTCGTATGTTTACGTCAAACTTTGCCTACAGCATCGATAGAATACTAATTTTACAAAATTCTAAAAGCCTTCTAATACGAATGTTTGTAAATCCCATTTTAACTTACGACGTAAAAGTCACATGATATAATCTTGGCAAGATGCCGAGCATTAGACGCGAAGAAAATAATTTTGCAGTACAGAATGATGAGAGTGCAACAAATTTCAGGCGCCGCTCCATTCGTAAAATTCCAGTTAAACGAAGTAAATTATCTTAACAATATAATTAACGTCGGATTATTGTAGTTGTTGATCTTGTAGTCATTTCAATCGATTCCCTTATTTCTTCTCTTCGTAACAAATTCAATTAAATAACAATTAAATTTCTTTATAAACATTTTTCTTAATTTTTTCTTACTATTCCTTTCCTTTTCAATTAAAAGTTCGATGTCTTGTGCACGTGATTTAATATTTATTATCCTGTATATAGCGTGTGAAACGAAATTAAAATAAAATTTTAATTCACGTATGCGAAATTAAACATTATACTTTAAGGAGCTTTATAAATTCAATATTTATTAGTATGCCGTTAGTTTATACCTTGGTGTCGTTGTAAATAATACAGACATTAATGATTATCGCATAATGAGACAAATGTAAATGTATGAGAATAAATAAAACGAATAATGAAGGATAATGTAGAAACACGTGAGCGCATTTACACACAAATGCATCATATCGATTTTCAAGTTTTCTAACAAAAATGGTTGAGTATTATGGAGGTTTTAAGGCGATAGATATAACGAAATAAGCTTGAAATTGTATTCGATAAGATAAAATGAAGGATTTCAACACAACAAATGAAACTGCTGAACTCAATAATGAAGGCTCTCAGATCAAAAAGTATAAGAAAGTAATAAAATAACAAAATAATAATAATAGAAAGAAAAAAAAAATTAATTTTTTTTAAGGTTATAAAAATTGTAATAAATAATTTATGAAAAATTAACTAATTGTCAGGGGATTGATTTATTTATTTTTTTTTAATTTAATCGTTAGTCTAATGCACTAACTGACTTGTACTATATATTTTTCATCTTCTTTTTTTTTCTTCTTTTTTTTTTCTTTTCTTGTTGCAGAGAAAAACACAAGAACTCGACTTCAGTTGGCTAACTACCAATGCAACGTCTAAAGTTTTCAAGGTTAATTAAACACCTTATTAAATCTCAAAATAGCTTTTATCGTTAAAAATCTTTAAATGATGCGTACCTATGTAGCATCCGAAGAAGCCTTGTACGTAATGAAAGCAACGTAGTCCAAAACAAATCGTAGCTACCGAATATGAAAAATCAATATATCACTTTCTCCCGCAGCCGATTTTACCGACGTCAAATGAAATAAAGCTTCGATTATTATGTTATCGCGCGATCCAACCTCACTTTAAATTCTCTTCGGCTCAATCTACCACACAAGGAATTATGCTTTCTTTTTTTGATAGTCCGTCGGCGGGCGCCGGGCCGTAATAATAATAAAATCACATTTTAAAGAGAGTCAGGGGCGGGACTGGCGACTTTTTCATCGGTTAGGACGCACGTGACAATGGGCGTGCCGTATGCCAATGATCATAAGTCGTAATTTATATAAAATAATATACGGGATGAGAATATGCGCGCAAGGTGGGGTCAGTGGCTCGGTCTTGATGTCCTGGGCCGATCCGATCTTGGCCGTAAAGTGTCCTTGGCTGATAAGCAGTCGCTGCTTATCGTCCGCGACCAATCAGGCGACTTATCTGTGGACTACGCAGGTTCTGCTGGTGTTCCCAAGGAATGACCAGCAATTTGAAATACTCGTGATCGCCGCGCGAAAATTGGGCTGGAGCGTCTCGGAGGCGAAGAATGCGGAACAAGCCGCGGAGCTCTTTCGCTTGTCCCGTCACGATCTGGCGATCGTCGACCGCAGAGGCACAAGCCACAGCCAAAACGCCGACGAAATTTGCAGGTCGTAATTATTAATGTTTCTTCTCCTTTACACGTGCAAGCGTACGTCGCCCCTCCTTATTATACATATATAGCTCCCCCCACCCAGCCACCCACTCACCCACCCACCCAACCTCCCAACCACCCACCTCCGCGATCAAGTGCTTTTAATGATTATTTCACGAACATTAAGGGCAGTTTAACCATCTTCCATTATACTTTTATCATGCTGCTAAGACCTGTGTGTATGCTAATATATCACAATAAATGGCAATAATTATATCATTGTGTACTGCACTTGACTTTCGAGAAATAATTTAATTTAATGCAGGATTGCAGGCTTTTTCACCTAGAAATATTATCGATAAGTTTGAAGAAATTGGTGAAAATTTGGTGATTTACAAGTGCCTGAGTAAATAACTTTCGGACAAAGTAAATCTAAAAAATGACTCGTGTAAACGCTCATTTCTTTCGAACGCATCATTTCACATAGATTGTATTTTTCATAAAATTATAATAAATTTAGCTTTATTACGTATTGAATGATCTATTTTCATCTATAATTTTCAAGCAATTGATATAAAAATTAATTTTTGATTATACATATGTGCGTGTGCGCGCTCCCTCGCGCGTTTATGCTTGCGGATGAATATGTGTGCACATGTGCGCGCATGCATGTATGTATGTATGTATGTATGTATGTATGTATGTATAAAACAGATTGACAAATAATTGAAACAATGAAATTTTGAATTATTAATAAATAAATTATAAAGTGTTGAAATAATAAATAATTAAAATACTAAATCTATGAACTAAATGAACCATACATAATTAATACTTATTAATACCATTTTTCTACTAATTTCATAAACGGTAGTGAAATTTTTTATTTGAATGGACATTTATTGTGAAAACACGTTATTTCATCATTGATTATCAAGATAATAAAATGTTTATAAGATAAATTTTTTATCTTTACAGTATTTTAACCAACTTAAGAATCTATCCATTCGCCTGTAATATCATAGCTTTGGTTAAGAAAACGTGAGTTAAAGTACTTTTTAATCGAGCCATTGTATGTAAATGCTCATAATTTTGTCAAAATAATTTAAAAACTGGCTGCAGATTTTTCACGATAACTCGAAATGACGAAGAAGGGATGTTGTTTTTACTGAACATTGGGTACAGTAGGGTACGTATATTATCTCAGTGGTTTTATTAAACAAATTCTTCATTAAAACAATTCTGCGAATGTACTCAGAAAATATTATTTATATATATATATATATATATATATATATATATATATATATATGTATGTATATGTATGTATATGTATGTATATATGTATATAGTTCTCCGATGACTATTTGCTCACCAACGAAGCGCAAAAAATAATAAATCTTGGAAATAATTTATAACTAAGCGAGCGTTGGAATAGTTCGTTAAATTCCAAATCTCTTTTTCGTTTGGCATAAAGGCCAGTCGTAAGATTCTTTAAGATTAAAAACTTTTCTCCAGGCACTTTACAAGCATCCTAGTTTAGCCATCGTGTTTGTTGCGAATGTACAAGTAACATCTTCAAGTACTCCTTGTCACTATAATATATTCATACAGAATTTCATTCGAGTCGATTCATTGCTCACCGTCATTGCAACAATCGAGCAGCACCGATTCATTCGCGCAGCACTACCGTTTCCAACGGGGCAGCCATTATTTTTCTGAGTACATCGACCTCCTCGAAATATGCGAATTTCAATTGCGCGAAAAAGAGAATAACACGCGAACAAGGCCCCGATGCCACGCCAACATTGACTACGCTTGCATTGGGCATATTTTCAAAAGGCGCTAATGGAATGCTCGCACATGGGGATCTTGATGAATGAACTCATCGGTATCTACACGAGCGAGATTCAGCCGAAAAGCCAACTAGCCGCCGCGCAGTTATTGTACCTCTTCGTTGATACCAGTCGAGATATCGTCCACGTGACTAACGATCAGCACATTGTGCAGGTACGTTGCCATAGAGCGCTCTGGGCACTGGCTTCCGGGCCTTAGAGTCGTGAGGAAATTCGGGGCTACCGGGAACAATCGCTCCACGAGCCTTATTAAATGATATCGGCCTCTCATCCCTGCATTTTGTTACGCAAGTTCGTGAACAGAGCCACCGAGGTGTTCCTTGGGTTCAAGCAGGAGGAGCTCGTGGGTAAGAGGATCGAGGACTTTATGATATTTGAAAACTTGGCGCTGATGCAGCAGCATCTGCGGAGAGGCAAAGAATTCCAGGATAATATTGTGTGGAAGAGGAAAGACAGGACTCCGCTAAATATCAATTGCAGTGTTGTCCCGATAAGCGTTCCAGTAAGGTGAGTCCTCGGGCTTATCGATCGGGTTTTCACCTGCGATTATCATTTTCAGTGCCCCTTTCATTGCCCTCCCTCCACGTACATTAGTCTTAAGGATTTAAGTGATTGGGGCGAGGAGGGTGGCGAGGATGTAGGTGGGGTGGGGGTGAGGGGATTGGGAGTATCAAGTATTAAGAATTTAATTTTAACAAAATTTTCCCTTCTTTCGTGGACAATTTCACTGCCGTTGATAAAGCATATCATAATATAGTTTTCATTTATCGAAATTTTCAAGGAATTCCGTCGACAATTACCAGGTCTTATGTTTTAATACCACAATAAATGGATAATAGTGGCAATAATAACAGTTGCCTTCCCCTATAAGATTCAATAAATTTCATCGAGTCCGATTTGTTTTAATTCACGCAGATTATTTAAGTATTGTATTTGTAGATTATGTTAGAAAGAATAACTGTAATAATGAATTTTTCAGCCAAACCGTTTATTACATTTATCGATGTGACATCACAAGTAAACAGGAAACAATTTCCTCGAGCGTTAGCTTTCACAATTTCACTGGACAAGAAAGTCACTCAAATGGACGATATTCTTTTGAATCAAAAACATTGCACGGTGAGGATTTATTATTTATTCGATGCATGATTTATCAATTTATTTTATTTTTTAATGCTTATCTCCATTGAACAGAGCCACGAAAATCTACCGTTACAAAGTTACATAATTTACTTCTGGATTCTCCAATAACAAAAGTAATTAAGCTGCTTTCGAGTGCCGGAGAGGGCTCCGTCGATCCGGATGTTTCTGAAAAAATCAAAGCAGTACGTATTATTCAAGAGAATAAACCAAAAGATTTCGAATACTTTGATCCAAATTTATATACAAATACTTTATAATATGCACATTGGGTTGTTTGATGAATTTTTTTTTTTTTTTTTTTTTTTTTTTTTTTTTTTCATCATTCAATTTAACATATGGATGAAAGTAATACGAAGATCATTTCAATACAGGCAATACGAATATTACTGAATACCGAATTGTACACACCGCAATTGCGAGAAGACGATCCGTTGCCCATATCCGATCCAATTATCTCAGAATTATTAGAATCATTAATTTCGGTAAGTGTTAATTATACGCTTAAAGATACTTTTAATCACTATAAAATAAGTATTTTAATTTTTTCTCGTTACAACGATTATTTGATAATAATAATAATAATAATAATAATAATAATAATAATAATAACAACAACAACAACAACAACAACAACAACAATAACAATAATAATAACAAAAACAATAACAATAATATCGGAATATCGAATGGTATTTGTATATCTAATTATTTAAAATAACTAGCAAGATGTGAATATAATCTATTTTTTTTTTTTTTTTTTTTTTATCAATTTTTTCTAATATATAATGCTCGTTATTAATTATATAAAATTACATAATATTACAAACGTCTTTGAAACATAAAGCATTTATACAAATTTTATATACTTTAAATTAAATAATTGCAACATTTATATAGGTTAATTTCAATGATTCGCAAAAAGTTAATAGTTCAACAACACAAAAACGATCGCCAGTTAAAAATGCCAATGCAACGGAACATCAGACGAATACGAAATTATTCAAAAATCCTCGAGATCCAGAAGAGCTTGAAGAATTATTAGAAAATAATTTTGATTGGGATTTGGATATTTTTAAATTGGAAATTTTGACTAATCGAAGGTATGTCATTATGCTATAATATTACGTACGCTTGATTCATTTGCCGAATAACGTCAGACTATTCGTATATTTTATAACAAAAACACTAATTTACCTCGTCATATTACTCAAATTATAAGCTAGTTTATTAAAAATAACAGACAAAGAAAACAAAGAAAATACGGAAAAAAAACATAATTGATGAAAATAATAGTAAAAAGCTCGCACATTTCTGTGAAAGAATATGAGTGCGAGGCGTCAAGCAATTTACAATGACATGAAATTTTTCAACAAGTCATCCGCTACTTCTGACTTAACTTAATATGCTGTCAACTCGCTTATTAAATATCACTGTTCTTCACTCTTTATATGCATTACCAATACAAAATTAACTTTTATACTGCGAAGTGAATACACAGAAGCACGAGTTCGAAACACGACGCACCTACTATATTGTAATTTTTGTAACATCAAGCTCTATGCATTAACGACTTGCATTATATAAAACATTTTGTCGAGCTGATTTCCGCTGTAATGTTTTCTTAGAGAATTACAAGCTCGCTGTTTGAAAGATTATAAATTACGGTTAATGTGGAAGCTAGCATTTAATTAAATCAGCTAGCGATTTCTTCTTTGGTCTGTTTTCAAATAAACTACATTGAAAAAGTGATCCTTAAATAAATTACCGTAAGTGAATTCAGCGTATTGGGACGCGTAATGCCTATGTACAATCGACATGTATCTATAACAAATTCATTTAAAATATTCTACGCGATTTACAATAAATTCAATAATTACCAATAATTAAGAGCATACAATTATTCCAATACAGACATATATATATATATATATATATATATATATATATATAGTTTATTAGCGTGAAATTCGATTGGCAATTGGCAACAAGACAAGCTTATTACAGCTAGAGTATGGAAATTAACGCTAATACAATTAGTAGGTCATATTAATGTTCCATAAACGCCATTATCCGCATATTCGAGTCCAAGTGGCTTCGTTCCACTAGCTTCGTTCCATCAGACCATCTTCACCCATTGCCAAATAAATAACCGGATTTGCGAAATGCGCACAGTTCGATAAGAGCATCCCTCTCGTCACAATACAGGCCGCTCTACTTCCTTGGCACGATGATGATGAATCACTACAAAGTCGCGGAAAAGCTGAATTGCGACGAGAAGACGCTGCAAAATTGGCTGACGATAATAGAGGCCAATTACAACATCCACGTAAGCTATCACAATTCGACGCACGCGACCGACGTCCTCCAGGCGATTGCGTGTTTCCTGCGCTCCAATAAGCTCCAGATGATTCTCGAGCCACTGCACGAGGTGGCAGCACTGCTCGCTGCGATCGCTCACGACATCGGGCATCCCGGAAAATCGAGGTACATATCTATCTCGATAAAGTCTGTGGGACCGAGTGAGTGACGAAATGGATGGGGAATGGGGGATGGGGAATGGGGAATGGGGGATGGTGGACGGCGGACGGCGGATGGCGGATGGCGGACGGCGGATGGCGGATGGCGGATGGCGGATGGCGGATGTGGTGTGGGAGGAGAAGGCAGGGAGCGCCTGTTATGCAAGATGATTCGTATGGGCCGAGTGATAAACCGTTGAGATCTGCTGGTCTGGTTGGTTAACCGCAAGCAACGATTGTTGTACCACTGCAAAGCCCATTAATATATTTACGATTTCTAAATTGCTAGTTAAGTAAAGAACGGTGCGCTCTATTTTTAATTTACAATCCTTTACTTTTCGAAAGTGTGAAATCTTCTTCTTTTTTTTCGTTATTTTTGTTTATTCGTTTGTTTATTGGTTTTCTTGCTGTTGTTGTTTTTTGTTTGTTTTTTTTTTGTTTTTTTTTTTTGTTTTTTTTTTTTTTGTATTTTATGCCCTACAACAGCGGGAAATTTCGTAGGTTAACGATCGCTGCCGATAAAGGAAATGTTTAGTGTAAATAAATACAACAGCGACAATAACATATTCCAATGAATATTTATAATGCTTTTATTCTAATTATATTACAGCCCATTTCTCTGCAATGCAAACAGCAAGTTGGCCATTCTTTATAATGATTTGTCGGTTCTCGAGTCTCATCATTCGGCTCTTACTTTTAAAATAACACTATCGGACGATAATGTTAATATTTTTAAGGTAAATTCGACACTTCTACAATTTACTACTTATATAAAAGCACTTTCTAATAATATGATAAGGAGCCCGTGGGAAAGTGAATAATCATATTTGATGATAATTTAACCAATTCATAATACCATAACAAATATTTTATTGTCAGATATGTAAAATCAAAAGCATTCGAATTGCTTGGCAATATCATTAAAATTTTAGTATTTCCAATGTATGACTTGAGAGGTATCCTACAATTATTTGATATTTTTCATGTTTTTCCAGAATCTAAATAGAGATGTATATAAATCCATAAGGCAGAATATAATAGACATGATTTTAGCGACCGAAATGACAAAGCACTTTGAGCATTTTGCCAAGTTTGTAAATGTCTGCAGCAATCGTATAAATGACAAATATGAGGTACTTACTAATAATATAGTTTAAATTCTCGTAACTTGTCACTTTGGAGATTCCGACAGATGAATTTGATTTAATCAGTAGTCGATTGATCCTCCCTTGAATCGCCTCGCACACTTTATTCTGAAAAATAATACGACACCGTAAATTACAAATATTATTTCACATTGCTAAACAAATTACAAAGTCCTTAACGAAGCTTAGGAAAAATTAATTTACTTTACTACTACATTTAGCTTGTTCATTGAAAATTCCTAATTAACTCATATTATAATAATCTTCATTTTCTGTGTACATTAGAGCCTCGATCCATAACACCACAACGCTTTAGTCTCGTTAAATGTAAAAATTAATAAATATTTATAATGAAATATTTCAAGCAAGCTAACTTTTTCATTAACCGAGAAGAGCGTGAAAATATATTTATAGAGTATATTTTACAAATAAATATAAATGTAATGAATTTTATATCTATTTGAAGAGAAGAACAAAAAAGAAGAAGGAATTTCTATTAATATTAAGTTAACATTACCATTAATTTCTTTCGGTACATTATTAAATGATCCTATTTTGTTATAAAGTTGAGAAAAAAATATAAATAGAAATAGACGTTTATTTTAAAATAGTAGAAATTACAATCTTATATTATGTTGATGAAATTAATTTACCAAAACATTATAATATATGATTTCCATATTAAGTCTATTAAAATAATTTAAATATTATTTAATTTAAATAATAATTTAAATAAATTTAAATAATCCATATTAAAATAAATTACATTCATTTCTCGGAGGCTACTAAAACATTATTTTATAACACACTTCATGAAAATTAACACAACAATATATCTATAGATATCTAACAGAACACAACCCACAAATACCAATTTTTAGTATTTTTGTTTTTTTTTTTTTTTTGTTTAATTAAGTCCTGTGCTTAATCCGAATACTTACAACGTCCATAATGCTGACGCTATAGCTCATTGATACAGGTTGCAAGATTACAAGTGCACGGTATTTTTGTTGCAGTCTTTTGCCGAAGACGTAACGGATATGTCAGTGTTCCTGCTTCCGGAGAATGTCTCACTGACAATGCGAATGATGATCAAGTGCGCCGACGTTTCAAATCCCACACGTCCTTTGCGATTCTATGTTGAATGGACCAGACGCATAGCCGAGGAATACTTCGACCAGGTAACGATTACCGCCTTCGTTTGTCCCTCGTGAGTCCCAACCACCTCCTCCTACCTCTCTTCTTGCTCTTATGAATGCTCTTATGGGACTCATGCTTTTTCAATGTTTTCTCCTTCTTTTGTTTTCGCCTTGGCGACTCCTGTACTTGTCTCTTTTTTTCTCCTGTACTCTCGGACAAGAAAACAATCAGTTTGTATTAATATTTTACAAGATGCGTAATAATACAAAATTGTTAGCCAATATAAATTTATGAAAATAAATTTATTTTTAAGAACATTTCGCTATTTCGGGAAATTTTCGTTTCAATTTGACGCACGACAAATTCAATATACAAATGCTTTTATCGTAATAATAATACATCACAAATGTAGTTCGATTTGTCAATAACAACTTTTAATGCAATTGAATGTATACTGATAAAATCACACGTATCCTAATGATGAATCATTTGGATGAAAGTGAAGTGGGCAAAAAATAATCAACGCTTCTCTTATTACATCTTTGCAATAATAGTTGATTGTGATGAGATATATGTAAATTCTTGCAAGCTTAACTACTTTGCATAATTTACATAATTAAATTTTACCAATAAATATCACTAAGAAATAATTGTTTTGTTAACTTCATAGTCTTTTCACTTGACTTGCATAATAATATTCGCAACTACTTATTAGTTACTTCAATATTATCATATTTATGGCACTGCTTTATTGCTTGAAATACCGTCGCATAATCGCATTAATTAATAAAATAATGACGTCCGAATTATAATTATTCGCGACGGAGAAAATGAAAGAAAAACTAAAATTATTCACTAAACTGATTAATTTGAAATTTGTTGCAATGCAAGTATTTCAAGAAATTTTTAACAAAAAAAGAAAGGAAAAAGAAAAAAAGTTATCGTCCTCTCGATGGTGCGATTAAAGCTCGTATTAAACAAGAATAAGAATACTTTTTTTGTTTACCGAAAGAAAATCATTGCATCTGCTCTTTTTGCACGAGTAGACCGATGAGGAGAAAAAGAAGATGATGCCCGTAATGATGCCGATGTTCGACAGAGCTTGCTGTTCCATACCAAAACTGCAAATTGGGTTCATCGATTACATTATTAACGACATGATGGAGGCATGGGATGGTGAGTACAGCCGTTCTCTATGTGCTTGTCCAACCCATGATTTTTGTTATGTAAAGTGCACATTAGTTGGGTGAGTTTTTCAAGCTTTTCAACGCGTGCGCTTAATGACAATATTGTGTGAGTATTTTTTAAGGGCAATAGAGATCATCTGCTTTAAAATACATTACTTATCGTTCATTGGATTAAAAAATATTAGAATAATAATGTCGATCGATGATCGAATGTATTGGACATATTACTTTATTGAAAAATTTATTCAAATTTATTAGAAAACTATATGTGCAAAGATTTATTAATAAACTTTATAATTGACTGATGATATATCATATATTTTCGTTCTATAGTAAATGTAAAATAATTGTAAAATTATTATGTTTCAATTGCATATTTCAAGCCGTCAAACATATTTCAATGTAAAATGATTATCCTCGTTGTACAAATCAAATACTTAATATAAATTCCTAAATAAACTTGCATTATATTAAAATTTTTTACATTTCACAGCTTTGCATACTCTGTAAGAATATTTTATTATTGTGATTAATAAAAAATAACTTTTAAATAGTATTTATACAACTATGTCAATGAAAAAGAAATCTTTTTTAATCTTTGTTTTTGTAATTTATGTCATATTACTTAAAAGTTGTAAAATTATTTTGAATTTCGCAATCCATTCAATGTAACCTTTATCGATGATTTTCGATATTCTCAATTCATTTTCGATTAATTTCTATTATTACTATTTGCATTATTGAATGGAAATTTTTTTATATTCCCAAATTGTTTTAAAACATAAAATAATTTTAACTTGCGAAATGATATTTTATTAATTTAGAAAGAATTAATTCACTTAATTCTGGCATATTTAAAATCAAACTTAAATGACTATATTAATAATTAATTTTATAGGTAAATTCTTCTAACCATTTATATCAAATATTCAATTATTTACTCTTTCAATGTATTAATTGCGCATAAAATTTTCATGTCACTAAAACTTATGTATTCTTATAAGTAATTACGTAGACATTTAAGTAAGATAAATGAAAATATTTTTCTTAGCATTCATTGATATGCCACAAATTATTGGATATATGAGGGAAAACTATGAAAAATGGAAGGAATTCCATGTGAGTAAATATTAATGTAAAATAATTTAGTCTATGTTGTAGATAATAATAATGATAATAATAATAATAATAATAATAATAATAATAATAATAATGTCATTTAATATTTAACATAGGAACAAGGAATTACAACTCTAGAGGACATCAAAAAATTACAACTAACTCCCGAATTACAGATTTATACAAAGTAATAGACAATTAAAAATAAATTTATTTTAGAAAACTAGATAACTATTTATACAAATAATTAAAAATATAATGTAAGATAATTCGACAAGAATTATGCTCAATTAAATACGAGGTAAATAAATGTAATTCTTTTATGTATTGAAAATTAGCAGCGATTTTCTAAATGTTTATATATATATATATATATATATATATATATATATGTGTGTGTGTGTGTGTGTGTGTGTGTGAATGTAAAAACAAAATATTTATTAAAGGAATTGTAATTAAATTAATAATGTTGTATTCATTTATAATGAAATCATGTTCTCAGAACTAAAACTGTTAAAGCCTATATTATTATGACATAATAAAAATTATAAAATTAATATTTTTATTAAATTATGAAAAGTAAAGAAAATTGGTATTTTGGTCGTAGTTGGTAGAGGAGTTGGTAGCTCCTCGCGAAGAACTGCTAATATAGTAGAGAGAGATGCGAAAATTGGCATGGACCATTTGGGGGGATGGGAGAGACAATTAAAGGACATTGTCCGGATGTCCCGACCGGATATTGTCCGGTGTCAAGTGGATGAAACAAAGACAAAGTCGTCGAGATATTTCGTTGAGACATTAACAGAGCTTAGTGAGCTTATCGAGATCCGTATCCGTTCGAATTATAATCCTTCGGTTAGTCCTGTATATTGGGAGACTGAAGCCAGGAGGTCGCTCGATCTGCTCAAAATCTACTTGTCTCAAGGCCAGGTGGAGGAGTTACTCCTCGATCCCGCACTCGATTGAATACAAAATTTATAAGGCTTAGTGGGCCTTATGGAGCCGATTGCTTGCACTTGGCGGTCAGTCAGCCATCATCGATTCTCAATTCATTTCATGCAGTTAATACTTTCTTGTAATTATGCAGCCATTGGGATTAACTTTTTGGATAGTTTCTTAAATTTCGAGTTTATTAATTAATTTTTTGTGAATTATCTTCGAACGTAAAAATGAAGGATATATAAATCATTGATCTTGACAAGATTTTTGTCTATACATTTATTACTGAATAATAGTAACTTTTTTCTCATTTTTTTTTTTTTTTTTTTTTCATAACATTTTTTTGTAACAAAGTTCAATAGATATTTATTATTAATAATGTATTGGCAATAATAATATTTATATTATACACTACCTATACAGACAATTCATGCATAAGTTAAACAAAGATATAACTTTTGTGTCATATTGATATTTTATATTTATCAAATACATATTTATGTAGAACTATTTAATTGCGGATATTACAGAAGATCTGAAATGTGCTAGATATAGTAGATAAATATATAAAATATATTAAATATATTCATATCCGCAAAATTTATTCGGTTAAGTATACTTGGCACATAACGTGCAGATTATGTTTATTGCTTCAACTATTGCATATTACTATTACCGTAATGAAATGTGTACGTTAAGATCGTTAATATCTATAAATACTATAAAGAAAGATAAATATTTTATTTGATAGAAAGAATTCGATATATATATATATATATGAATACAATTAATAAATAAATTAATTTTTAAATTTTTTCAATCAAATTTTCGTACATTGAAAGAAATATCAAGAGATTTCTTAGAAGTAATCTTTTACATTAGAAATATAATGAAAGGAGAAAAGTTTGTTTAACATTCTTTATACTTCTAGATGTAGATCTATTTTTTTTTTTTTTGAATATCAATAATAACGTTTTCTCAAATTTCATTCAAATTATTATATAATGCCAATCAAAATTCTTGCTTAATAATGCAAGTGCTCACTTCAGATCATATAACTAAAAAATAATTTTTCATTCACTCATTTAAAAGCACAATAATTCTATCATTCTCTTATTTTAATAATAATAAATCATAATCGTGCGTTGTGCTTACAATTCTATCCAATGCGCATATCATATCATTTAAATTTTTCTAAGTATTACAATATAAGTCTCTTATTAGAAGAAACTTTATCTTATTTAATAAATCCGAGGAATATTATTAATTTGTAAAGAAAAAATCCAGAATTCATAATTACAAAGTAATACTGTAGTTTCAATAATTCAAAGTATCATAATATTATTCGTAAATATTCTTTATGTATATTAACTGACATAACTATTTATAAGGAAATACTATAAAATATCTAGTAGTTGTTCGGCATTATTATTTACATATTTTTAAAAAGACAGTAAAAATTGAAACTATGGATTTCAACATCTTCAATCAAAATAAAATTTGCATTAATTATACGTAAATGATTGTAAATCGAAATATTAAATTTTTAATTTTACTTTGGTGAAAGTATTTAAGCGTAAACAAAGTAAGTTTCCAGCGGTTAATGTAGAATATCGAAAACTTCTCATCATCATCATTTTCACCAAATAAATCGATTTTGTCGATAAATTATACCACTTGCAGCTGTAACTACAATAATTTTTAATTTAGGAAATTGTCGTAAGAGAATTATAGTAAGATAATATAAATTAAAAATGATTTAAATCACCAGTTATCAAATACTTGTGAGCTATAATCAATAATCCGTTGTCCCGAATGAAATAAGCAATAAAAGTGAATTAAGCCTGCAATTATAATTGGGCCATACCTAATCAATTCATCGGGTTGATCTTCTTTAAATATAAACTACAAAGAAAAAAAGAAAATTTAATATAATTTGATTATTAAAGATCTCGCTACTTACAATGTTATGATCAATATTTAGATAATTACTATAGCAAATCCCGATCCAGCTAAAAGTAAATTTATAAAAATAACAATAACCCAGGGAATGTTATAACAATCTTCCATCAGGTTTACGTAGCTACAATAAAATTGACACGTAATTGTCACATACAAAAATATCTATTTTAAGATAAAAATAATTTTTTTTTAATCACCCAATCGCTTGTTGATGTAAATTTATTGCATTAACTAAATGAAAATATGCAATTTTATCTCCTTTCGAAAATGTTATAACATGATTCTCAATGTCTTCCGCTGTTTTCAAACTTTTACTTAAACGATAACTGCGTTAACAAATTAGAATAAATACTTTGATAAATAAAAAAAATTAATTAACAAAATAAAAATTAGATAATACAAATAAAATGTTCTTATATGGCACAAAGAAATTATTGTCCGTTGAAAGTATTGATTACTTTAATTTGAATGTAATAAAAGAAGAGTATCAATAAAAAATATCATTATTAAATATTCACAATTTATTCCTAATTGTCATTATAAAATTTACGATATTCAATTATTTTCAAAAAAAATTGAAGACCAATTTATAATAGAAATTTAAAATTTATGAAAATATTCTTCGCTCTTAGTCATTCTAATAAGTCACATTTTATAAATTAATTACATCTATATTTCAAGTTTATGTATTAATAACGTTATATTTATTAAATAAGATATTTATTACATATGATAAGTGATCTTTTTTATGTTACATTACCTAACAAGTGCAAATAAGGCAGCAAAATTTTCTACAATCAGGATAAATCCAAGATCAAATATCACAATCACCATTATTGTTGGAAATCCTCCAAAAATGAAATGTAACAGTAAAGGGTAATAATATTTTTCCTTACTGATTCCATATTCGATGTGTATCGGAAATATTTTTGTCCGACTAATATTTTCATGTAGCGAAATATAGTCCAATAATGGTGCACTTATAGGAATTATTAAATATAATATACTAGTTGAAAACATAAAAACTGTACAAAAAAAAAAAATTGTCCATTTAATTTCGTTAATTTATTTTACATTTATCTTCAAATTATCATTTCACCGCATATTCAACAAATTTTCAAATATACTTAAAATTTCCTTCTATTTTTAATATTGTCTAAAAATAGAGTACCGGGATAGGAGGGCCAAATATCTAAAGTTAGGTATAAACTCCCAAATGGTTGATGGGTAGGATTGCGAGCAAGTGGACGTATTCATAGTGCACGTATTCAATAATAAATAGCATTGGTATTTGTTGTAATTTATTGCGATTTTATTGCGACATTAGTTGTATTATAATGATTTTTAGTTGATGTTTGAATGTCTCCGTTTCTTGACTTTTGTTATTGCTATTGCCATATAGAGCTGTAATGTGCGTTGCATGTATAGGTAGAAGGGTGCAGTAGTAAATTCTGGTAGCCTTCTGGTCCTCTATATGTAATGCACGTGGTGGTGGTCGTGTTATACACGTAGAAGAACAAGGTCGTAAACCCCCGTGCTTCCTTGTGCAGTGGCACGTGGCAGTAACTTGAATTTGCCTTGGTATTGTCATTATTGCTTACCTTCTAAAAGCTCTGCAGGTGTGCTTTTGGTGGCACTTCATCTTAGTCTGCAAATATTGCCGCGTACGGCGCCTCCTAAGTCTTTCTTGTGGGAGCTAAACTTGCCCCTTATGACCCTTATGCGTTTGCAGATTGTGTGAGCTTGGCCGCTCTACAGTTCTTTACCTTGTGAGGCATATTGTGTATTATTATCGTTATTAAGGAATGGAACTTTTGCCTTGTGAGTTCTGCAGATTTTGTGCTCTTGATGGTAGCTAGTGATGTCTGCAGGTTGTACCTCGTGCGGCAGCTTCTAGTTTATGTTTTGTGTTTTTCTGGCTATACCTCGCGTATTGTTTGCTGAATTTACCTTCGAGCGTCTCCTTATAAGTTATGATTATGTTGTGCTCTGTGCACCACTGTTTACTTGTTCCTTTTTCCTTGTCTTGCACTGCTGCGAGTGTATGATTTGAATTTGCACTTATCTTGCACTTGTCATGAGTTGGATATGACTATACTTTGCCTCTTAATCGGCCTTTACCGTCTATGTCAACATCCTTGTTCTTTGGCGTTCCTTTTGAGAAGTAGCCTTGCCTGCTTCTTTTGTGAGAAGCAGTTGCGCCTTGCCGGCGTCTTTCTTAAAAGCATTCTCGGCCACCGCGTGGTCTTTACGAATTTCCTGCTTCTTGGCGTTTCCAATCAGACCGCTTCATACTTGCATCCCCACCATGAGAGGGACTTGTTTGGCACGTTCTCGCTTCACTAAACGAGCCACATGTAGCTGGGTTTGACAACAGAGTATGCGTGCAGAGTTGCATTTAATATCCCTTTTTTCGGATATAAGACGAGGTAGTTTTTGCTTATATTTTTAGTATTTGATTATGCCAGAAGTATTATGGCTTGTCGTCGATGGATACTTTATGGCGTGGTCGCGTCGAATTTCTAGTCGCATTAGTTTTATGACGTGTTTCGTTAGACTCTTGATCGCATATTCTCGCCGGATGTGTTTATGAATTGTTTTCTGTTTAGATAATCAAGGGTTTGCTTTTTTCCGGATTACTCTTATCTCGAGTTTTCCAGATGTCTAATGAGCTGGGAATATTCTTACATTCTCGAGCAAATATCACGTATATTTGTATTGAAAAGATCAGTGCACGTGTGTGTGTGTGTGTGTGTGTGTTTGTGTGTGTGTGTGTGTGTATATATATATATATATGCATGCATAACGTAAGGATGCATATAATTTCAAATGCTTTTTAAAAAATTATTCAGATGTCATAAAACGAATAGATATAAATGCATACATGTGTACGTGAGAGTTTGTATACTTATTTAAATACAAATTGAGAATTAATTGAACACAGATTACATAATTACACCGATAACTGTAAATTATCTGGAAAAGTCAAATTCTTCCATTGATTAAAATGTCTATTTATATAAGAATGATCATAAGTAGCAAAATTTTTTGAAAAAGGAGATAAGAAGATATGAATGTAGTTATAAGCAATACATCGAGTTACTTTAGCAGCAATTAATTCCAATAGTTGATAAAATGTTTATATAAGGTGGAAATGTTGTTAAAATGAAACATTTTTTTAAAAAACGTATATAGATGAATTTTCAGTTCAATTTTTTAGCATTCAAGATTAATAATAAAACGAAAATGGACTTGTGATACTTATAGTTTTACATAATTAATAAAGTAAGACATCGATTATTATTTGGTAATTTGAAACTTAGAACTTTATAATAGGATATTATTTTACTTAATGCTTTAAGATGTAAATTATATTTTTAAAATTACTTATACAAGCAAGTTCTTAAATAATTAAATAATTAATGACAATTAATTATACGAATTAAAAGTCACGATGAGATATATCGAAGATAGAATATAAATGAATAAATGTATAGAAAATTATAAAATTTCAGAATACAAATTTGTTCTTTACATGAAATGGTACTTAAGAAAACTATTATATAAAAATTATTATAAATAAATTTAATAATAAAATGAACCAAAATATGCAATTGAAATGAACTGTTAATTACATTAGAGTATTAAATATAATTAGTGATAAATATATGTATGAGTATGATCGTACTTAGCATATTTAAATGTGCAATAGAGTTTTTGTTTATGTATGTAAAATGATTGAGCTGTCGTTTCGATAAATTAAAATATTCCATAATATACTTCTATAGATAATTTTCTGCATTTGGAGATAGCGTAAGACGTATGAAAAAAAAAATAAATAGAAATACAAAAAATAAAAGAAGGTAAGGATTTTTTTTTTTTTTTTTTTTTTTTTTTTTTTAAAGAAAGTATTGATCTTATTCAGAAATAATACCTGTGTAAATAATGACCTTCCTACGACCAATTTCCAGATATCCACATATTATTTTTAGCTCTTCTGCATCAGCCATCATATTCCAGGTATTAGCTAGTAATATATAAATAATTTTCAACTGTAAAAATATTTTATTGTAATATAATTTCATTTGAGCAGAAAGTATAAAATTAAAATTTGTTCTGCAGATTCAAATAGACTGCACTTTATTAATAAATTTTATATTCTATTTTTATATTTATACCAATTGAATATATTTATATTAATAAAAATCATGAAATTATCATTAAGTATAAAAATATACTTATTAAAAATATATGTGTAATGAAATAAATCACTGCGACAGTAATTATATTTGATTTTAATTCTAACATCTAATAAGTAGAAAAGTAGAATTTTTTAAATGATACAAATATTATACTATCAAGTTTAATTAAATCTAGAATTACATTCAATTAAATATAACAAATCACGTTCTTTCTGGATAAGTAAAAATATGATGAATAATTACTTGAATGCTATATAGAAAATAAATATAACATTAACAACAACATAGAAACAATTGTTTTACAACAAAATACGAGAATTCCATTTTTATAACATAAATAACTACAATGATGAACATATTAATAGATAATTACAATTGTATACAACAACAATAATAAGGATAATTTAGTTATAAACCATTCATACGTTACTGCCCCTTATTAATAAAACATTTAAAATTAAAAATTAATTTAAAAAATTTAACTATTTTATTCGTTGTTTATCAAAAATTGATGATGTTATTGAAAAGTAATTTATATAAAATTTTATTATTTAGAAATTATAATATATAATAATTCTAATAATAGACAAAATTTTACAGGATATTTGACTATATCTCTAGCCTAATGAATTTGATTTAAAAAAAAGGAAATTTATATTTACCTTTGATTTTAAAATAATACTTATGCACAATTTTATAGATGCACCAATAAGATACATTTGAGAAATTGAATTTTCCAAAACGATTATTTCATTAATACCTATTTCGTTATAAATATTCCAAGCCTAATTTATTTTTCAGAATTGAATAAAAGATAATTTCAAAATATATTATTAAATACAACGTGTTTAACAAATAAATATTTATACGAAATATATAATCTCATATCTTACCACAGGAATCATGAATGACAATATACTTAAATATGTATAGGTCCACAGAATATAGTCCTTCCAATTACATTGAAAAACCCAAAAACCAATTATTTTCTGCAATCGAATTGTAAATTTCCAATAACGAGTTTCATAAAGATCCATATTTATGAAAATATTATAATTGTCGAATAGCGAATTGTCTCAGTGTATATTTTAATGTTGAAATATTCATTGTATTGATTATTTGCTTAAAATGATACAATCTATAAGAAATATATTAAAAATTATATCAAGTATTTACTATAACAAATTACTCTTAATATATTAATATAACTAATTATTATTTATATTTCTTATGAACCTACAAATTTATTTATTTTAAAGTATTTTTGTTTAGATTTATTTGGAAATAATAATTACTTTCAGATCTTTTCAATATGTTAATTATAGATTGAAATTAATTTTTTTCATTTCAGAGATATTTAAAAATAATTTTACAATAAACATCAGTGAAAATAATTCTGTAAGATTTTCAATACGAATTTCAGATATTTATAATTTGCGATGTGGATTGATAAACAAAATAATCGTATAATGAGTAATTGGTGTCAAAGACAATATAAGCACATTATTTTAATTCTTATTAAAAAATGTAAATGATAATTAATTGTTTAATGTAATTTTATAACTGCTTAAATATAAAAGGTCTTCTCATAATTTCTGTATAACTGAATTCAATTTTAAGGGAGCAATAAAGGCGAATGTATAGCATTAGAACGTTATGGTTAATAATAATGAAGTGCGGTATAATTTCTGCAATTATCGTTGATATATATATATATATATATATATATATACATATATATATATATAGTTCATATCTAATATATAATTCACTATGCATGAATCATAGTTTTATGTTTTCTTAGCAGAAATTCAAGTGTTTAAGTTTCATAATGGTTGGAAAATTCTGTATTTTATAATTGTTTATAATTGTTGGGAAATTATTTATAATTTACATATTTTAAGTAAATAGCAGATAAATTTTGTTATTTCTAAGAAAACTTGTGCTATTATGCAGGGATGAACTGTAATAGACAAAAATTTATGTTAATTATAAATTGCATATAGCGTGATGTATTGATAGCAATAATTTAATTTTTATAATCATATAGTTGTCTGGGATCAGACTAAAAACCTCCTTTTGATGTTGGTGGAGGTGTTGCTGGCAAGTGGAAGGGGCAATGCAATTATTCAATATTACTTACATTCAGTGTTTCCTTTCTTTCCTTTATTAAATATAGTAAAATAATTAATAGTTTAATTTATTATTAGAAATATTTGAACTTGTATTTCAAATCCACCAATCAATTTGATTTGTATTTCCTTGCGAGGGGAAAGGTTTATATGTATTGATTCAATATATCGTTAGGCATACTGTGTTCTGGGCTAGAAGTAATTGCTCTTGGGCTTAGGTTGTGAATTTGACTTGACCGTTTTTCATTATAATTACTCGTCCAAGTCAATATCCGCTAAGAGTTCTGAATTTCGTGAATCTTCCACTAGCTCTTTGACTATTAAGGGACTTTGTTCTCCAATTAAATTTGTATCCGAGGGTGAGTCTAAATTTAGGATTATACATTGAATCATTAGTGGGAAGAATTTCTAAAATTTGATGGTCCTCAAACAGGACTGGTTGATGTGAATCTACTAACGGTGGTTTTACATGCCGAGTGCCAACTAAGCCTCCTCAGCGGGTACTAATTGTGCCTAGGGCATTTATCTTTGCTCTCTGCTTAAAAATCATAGCTCTTTGATATCATACCTAATGGTAGATCAGTTGTTGCTTGAATGCAGAAAAATCTTAAACCGACCTCATCATACTTTTTTCTCGCTCTGAAATATTGCTTGACAATCTTAGTAACAATGCTTTCCCTTCGCCATGACGTGAGATTTTTGGTAACAAACAAAGCAACTGTTATAGCCACATTTATATCACTATAGTCTATATAATGACCCATCCTGTGGCAGCTGGCATTTATTATAGATCCCGCTACTGCTCCAGATTTCTTAAGGAAATCAGCTATCTCCTGGATCTTGTCTTTAGAAAAAATGGCTTTAGCGAAAGGGGTTAGAATAAATTTATCATCAAGCAAGACACTAGACGACTTATCCAAAACATTTATTGCAAACAGGGATGCCAGATTAAGGCTGATGTCCATAGAGTTTTCTTTAACACTGTACTGATAGTTAGATAATTGTTTTACTATATACATAAATCATCTTAACGACTAGCGATTTTGGGTCAAGTTCTGCATCAGATGGCCTACTTCCGAATATTGTAAGTTGTCCATCATCGTCTCGCCTGTATGTAAGTGTAAACTTCCAGCACATATGAGTAGAACGATTCATCGGAGACGATGCATCGATACCACATTTAAACAAGATTTTGCTTGCAAAGTGAATCTGATACATCTTTTCCGCAGGATGAGTTGGGTAAACATTATAATCACAACAGAACTTCTTAAAGTCATTATCTAACCTCTTTAAGCTGAAATGTCTCCAACAATTCTGTGGTTGGCCAATTCAACAGGTCTCGTTCTAACAGCATCCATAGCTGGTTCCGAAGATCTCGTTATAACAATGGTAAATAAGGGTCTCCAATAGATAGTACCTCATCCAAGTTGAGGTCTGTGCTCCTTATGCTGAGCCTATTGCTTATTCTCTTTAGTCTGGCTATGCATGTCAACTGTGTTTGAGCCTTTACCACCTGCTCACGTGATAGCTTGTCCTTGGTTTAGCTAGTGTACAATAGTTGCGTACTTACGGTATTGAAGAATCTTCTTGACTATGTATTGGAATTTTGTGTGTAACTATTATTACTATGGCTGTTTTCCTTTCGATCTAGCAGTATTAGGAGAATGCGCTGATTTCTATTTATCCGGCTCGAAGGACCAAAATGTCTGGGATCAGACTAAAAACCTTCTTTTAATGTTGGGTGGAGGTGTTGCTGGCAAATGGAAGGGGCAATGCAATTATTCAATACTACATGCAGTGTTTCCTTTCTTTCCATTATTAAATATAATAATGTAAAATAAATAGTTATTAATCATAAAGTATGTGAATGAAGGTGTGAGCGAATAACTAGAGGAAGTTTCTTCAATAGTCTTACTTGCTGAGGAGAGTGTATATACTCTCCGTGATGTAAGAGGTGAATCCTTCCCTTCCGAGAAGTGCCGCTGCAGTAGTATGCGTGAGAGCCGCCGCTGCCGTACCGCTGCTGCCTAAGTGAGACTGGGTTGCTGGACCGTTTGCTGCTATCTTAGTGTCGGTGTGATCCGTTAATTTATGTAGTATGATTCAATAATTTCACTCTTGATTAAGTTAGCACTAGCGCGTTATTTGTTTGAGTTTGATTAACGGATTATGAAAATGTGGCATCACTATTGTATTGTTAGATTGCTCACTGGTTGAGCAATTACGTACGTGTATGTCAACAGTGAGTGATGACTGTAGAATGAAGCTTGAAGACTGAATAGCGAGCTCGTCATATTATTGCGTAATCGTTATTACGCGCTAGACTGAGACAAAGACAGACACGCCTCGTGGCAAGCGCAGCCCTTAAATATTCTCGTGGTAATTTTTAAGCGCCGGTAGCGATCCGGTGTCTGTGCTATGCCGTTAATAATCATCGTCATGACGTTAATAATGTATAATTTTGGAAGTTTCATTGTTATAATTTTTCGAAATAATAATCGTATATTCGGGTTTTTGGCGTAGAAATATTATTCGAGTTCGTTGGCTAGTGCTTATAAACAACCGTTCGCGCGCTCTCTCATACCTCTCTCACTTTTCTATTCCGCTTTTCAACTGTTTCAATCCGTAACAATACTTAATTTGTAAAAATATTACATACGCGCATATTATAATATATGTAATATTACATGTGAATATATTATATATTTCGACTAAAATATTTAATCGGCCATTATGATATTATAGGAGGTTCTAATAATTATATGACTGACATATAACAATAATGAGCATAAATTATCAATAAAATTAAATATATATATATATATATATATATATTTATAACTTTGTTATGTATTTCTCTTTTAGTTAATAAACAGATTTTATACGTATTTATTTATTCTTAATAGTCCTAATGATATGTAAATAGTTAATAAATATAAAAAATAAACAAAGATAATCAATAGTTTATAAATATAACTTATGCGATGATTTTATTCATAACCATACATAAATAATCATTAATTATTAACGATAAAAACAATTTATTCGGCAATCCGTTATCAATGTTATTTCTGTTCACAAATTAAAGTCGTGTATTCTATTATATAACATTAAGGGGTTGGGGGGAGGGGGATTCGATAGGAAGAAAAAATTGATTATTTTTAAAATGCATGGATGACAGATAAGCCGGAAGGAGTGCGTAGGCATCACAGGACAATAACATGAAATGCAGATCAGTGTTTGCAGTTTAACAGTCGTGCCGTGGGTTAAAGTGAGAGAGTGAGTTAGTCGGGTGCTGGAGAGGAGGAGCAGGAGAAGGAAGAAGAGAAGGTCTCATTTCAACAACGATGTCATCCGCAAGCAAGACTTTGCCCAGACGTCAGCGATGGTGCAGCGCTGCACTTCGGCACTCCTTCTTGCAAATTGAAGCATTCTTTTTCTCTCTCCTTCTCCCCCGTCAATCGTTATTTCCGCTTCTTTTTTTCCCCTCTCATTCCTCCGCTCGAATCACTTTCTCTTATCTTTGTTTCAGCGAATCATCCGCTATCTTCCGAGCATTCGGCTTCTTCCTTCTCCCATTACAACAAACAAGTATTTAACTTGTTTTTAATGACCGTTTTCTCTCACCTTTATAAAATA